GGGGGAAGTAGTAAAATGATTTCCCTCATTATTCTCCTGTTTAAGCAATAAGGTGTTAATTTGTTAATCCTAAAACAGAAAAGGTTTAGTTTGTGCCGTTTTACGCAGGATCTGGGTTCAACTGTAAATTAGTCTTTGTCAGTCATATTATGTGTTCATGATGTAGCTGTCATTTTTAAATTAACTATAAAACATTTAAATTACTTTTCCATTTCGCCATTTTACTTCACCACAAATAATGATATGTTTGAATCTGTCGTTTGCTTAATGGAGAATATAATTAATTGTAAAACATGCTGGAGACCAGCTCATTTCTAGATTAAATTGAGAGAAGTTGTGCTTTCTTTTTAGCTTTACTGAAACAAAACAAAACAAACAAAAACAGAAACAAAAAACTCAGAAAACTTCTACTTGGCATCAAGATCTGTACAACATAAACTCCATCATCTATGCCAGATGGTGAGTGTCTGCTGCAGGTTTTGAGTCAAACTAAGTGGATGAAAAATAACAAGGGCAGGGGGAGATAAAGTTTGAAAAATAAGTTGGACCAGTATAGTCTTAAAAATGTGAATACGTAACTTGGCAAGGCTCTAACACCTTCGCACAATCAGGAACTGACGAGCATAAAGTGATCTTGCATTCGTAAAGTTTCCAGTCACTACTGACATTTGCTAAATCATCCATCCATTGTCTGAACTGGACAGGTTGCCAGTCCATCAAAGCGCCTAGAAAATTGTACATAATTCAAATATCTCCAACTTTTATAAAGGATGTCTTCACAAAATTCTCCCCCGTCACATAGCAATTGTGCAACTTGTCCTCTGGCTCCTCTTAAATCATGAGTTGGTGAAGCCTCTTACCTCCACAGACAATCTGACGAGCACGAGTGCTTTGTAGCGGTTTTAAGAGGTACATAGGCACATAGTTTAAGCTCTTACTGGATACCCACCTGAAGAGTTCAGGTAGCTCTTAAAACAGACCCATTCTGTAATTTACAATCCTGTACT